TTTGGCATGTAAAAAATTCTTTTGAGATATCTAAATGAATTTCAGGGTTGGTTAATTATACTGGAGTTCAGATGTCTTCAAGTAACTCTTGGTCTGCTAAATACCATTGCCATCTTATTTTACATAATCTTATAAGTAAGATTAACTAATGAAACTCAAGTAAACTGATCGATTGACATAGTGGTTTGAGCATTGTTTGGTTACATACATGCTTAGCCCCCTCTCTAAACAGAATCCTTTCTTCTATAGTCAGGCACTCTATATCTTAATCACTGTCCTTTCCTAAGGAGGATTATCTGATGATCACCATTTTCCCTCTTTAAACCACTATCTGATACATCTCCAACTGGGATATGACTATCTTCACATGCATTTTCTCCAAATTCCCACTTGCCCCAAGCCAAGGTCATAGCCAACTGTTGGAATCAAGTATTATCCGTCATTCTAACATAGATCATTTATGGAGTGCCTACGGTACGCTTGACACTGTGCTAAGTGCTACAGATGCAGAGATGAGTCGCTCACAGTTCTGCCCAGAAGACCAGAATCTCATAGAGCAGAGGAACGAGAAAAGGAGCCGAGGCGGCTTGGCGTGAGGCTACAAGGTCACCGACAACTGAACACAATGGAGAACAGTTCTAGACGGGGCTCAGGAAGACTTGCAAAGGCGCTGAGGTCCAAGCAGTGTTCCAAAGAAAAGGAAGTTAGAATTTGCATTCTTCCTTTTTAAGAATTTAGACTTTGAAGAAAAAGCTACCTCTTTCCAAGAATTTGTCTGGTATCTTAAAGAGAAGAAAGTACAAGAAGGGAGACAGTTGTGGTAGGCATGCTAAGGAAGTTTTGATTGTCCAGAGAAGGAAGGTAAGAAGGTCCAGAGGGAGGCTTCTAATTAAAATATGGGAACTTTTAGAACCCTGAATCAGAGCCTGTGCCTAATTCATAGCCCTTGAACCTGGAGCCTAATTTAAGATCATCCTGTGCAGCTCAGCTCCCACTTGCCCTCCCAAGTCCTGGGGGCTTTTGCCTGGTGAACAGTAGTGTTGTAAATCTGAGTTCAACTCCATTATGATTTGAATGGCATTTATCCTTTGAGCAACGAAGAGCCAAGCACTGTAGAAATGGCAGTGAGGATTCTGATGTCAGCAGTGGACACCATTTAAGGCAGCTCACAGTTAAAGAATAGAGACGACCCACCCAGGACCCATCCCAACAGCCTCCGTTAACACCCATAATCCAACTCCAACTTGAATACCACACATTTTAGGCAAGATATAAGCTGGAAGGGCAAGCTTAGTAGCTTTCATCCAAGCCTGGTTGGAAATCCTTCTTAAGTTTGCTTAGGTAAATATTTAGTGTGTAAATGAAAACTTTTGTCATCTTAAAATAATTCACTGGTTTCCTGAAGTTGGGCCAAGAGATTGTTGAGTTGTTAGATTCTTTTAGAAACTCAGATTTTAAAAAAAAATCAAACTTCTAATGGACAAGCTTTCATGTTTGTTTCATTCTTTCATCCACTGAAATAAAGAATATAAGTAAAAGCTAATTTAGAATAGACTTGACTACATAAATACTTAAAACTTCTTTTACAAATATTATATGCAAAGGTAAAAATAGAAACAGTGACCCAGGGAACTGTATTGGCAACATAAATAACAGGCAAAATGTGACTGTCCTTAAAAAGTATTTGCAAACCTGCTAAAGACAATATCCCAGTTGAAATTTGAGTAGAAAATGAACTGCTAATTCACAAAAGTAGAAAGGCAAATGACCTACAGTCATATGAAAAACTGTTTGGCCACATCAAAAATGAAATAAAAGCAAATTTAAAGAGCGAAGTAACATCTTCTTTGTATAAGATTGGCAAAAATTGAGTAACACCAGGTATTAGAGAGCATGGTGGGGCAGGCACATTCACACACTGCAATGGTGGAAGTGTGAATTGCTGCAACCTCTTATTTAAGGGCAGCTTGTTAAACCATATAATGTGGGTAATTTGTGACTTAACAAATCCACTTCTAGGACTTATTTTTAGACAATAACGGAAGAGTGTATTAAAATTTTCCCAGACCCACAGATGTTTATTTAAGTTTTGTTTATAGCAGCACATTTTAAAAGTCAACCTGAGTGTTTATCAGAGAGGAGTTGGTAAACACGTGCACTCGCATATGAGGACACTGTGCAGCCGTTTAAAACGATGAGATCCAGGGCTCCCCTGTGACTCAGTGGTAAAGACGCTGCCTGCCAACGCAGGGGACTCCAGCGAGATCCCTGGTCCAGCAAGCGCCCACAGGCCACGGAGCGGCCAAGCCCGTAGGCCACAACTCCTGAGCTCGGGCTCCGGACGCCCGGAGCCTCAGCGACAGGCCTGGGGTCTGCGCTCTAGAGCCTGCGCTGCTCGGCCAGAGTCTCGGTCGCCCCGCCGCGCCCGAGTCTGCGGCTCCGCGGGCTGCAGCCGGCCAGCCTCCCCGCCGCGCCCGAGTCTGCGGCTCCGCGGGCTGCAGCCCGCCAGCCTCCCTGTCCGCGCCCGACTCTGCGGCTCCGCGGGCTGCAGCCCGCCAGCCTCCCTGTCCGCGCCCGACTCTGCGGCTCCGCGGGCTGCAGCCCGCCAGCCTCCCTGTCCACGGGCTTGTCCAGGCAGGAGTGCCGCCATGCCCTCCCCCTGCGCCAAGAAAAGGCATCGCGACGAGAAGCCCTCACACCGAGCAGACATCGCCCTGCCCTCCGCAGCTAGAGAGAGGCAACAGAGACCCAGCGCAGCCAAAACTGAGCACAAAAAGTTATTCTAGAAAATAAAAGGACGAGATCACCCAGGAGCAGTGGGAGCGCTTGAATCTGTCGTCAGTAGAGCTGGGTTTACATTCCAGCTCTAGCAGTCACTAGCTGTGGGACCTTCGGCAAGCCATTTGACCCCTGTAAGCCTTGGTTATCATCTTTAAAAATGGGGATAACATTACTGCCTGTGTCCCTGTGTCTTAAGATTGAGGGGAATTAGATGAGAGTATGAAAGTAAAGTTCTTAGCACATCACCTAACACTAACAAGTCTAAAGCTTTTGGTTCAATACTGTCACCTCCATATAAAATGACAAATTAGAACCAAGATTTTACCTTTAATACTTTACTGAAATAAACGTATTTAAAAAAAAAAAAAGGAATGAACTAATAACAGAGAAGAAGACACTATAAGAAAAGAAATGCCTGAATAAAAAATTTCCCTTGATGATTAAAACTGCTGTTACTATTAACAATCAATAGAGGTACTATGAAATACTGTTTAAAAAGCTTTTCAAAATTTAGAGCAAAATGACATGAATGGAGATGCAATAAAAAAGATAATTAGATATCATAATAAAAATTACAACAACTAACATACACTAAGACCGCTTGAATATGCACTACATGCATATGTATATCCATTGTGTCCATTATTTCAATCAGTCTTCCCAGCAAACCTCTGAAGTAGCTAGGGATATTATTCCCTCTAGATGAAAGTGAAGATGAAAGTCCTGTCCGACTCTGTGACCCCATGGACTGTAGCCTGCCAGGCTGCTCTGTCCATGGAATTTTCCAGGCAAGAGTACTGGAGTGGGTTGCCATGCTCCCCCAGGGGATCTTCCCGACTGAGGGATCAAGCCCAGGCCTCCTGCATTCCAGGTGGATTCTTTACCAGCTGAGCCACCAAGGAAGCCCATTCCCGTTTGATAGCTGGAAAGATTAAAGCATCAAGAAATTAAGGAATTAGCCCCCAGCCACACGGCTGGTATACGGCAGATTCAGGGGATGCCACCTCTGCTGATTGCGTCTGTCCCCTCGGCATCTTCGCCACACCTGCTAAGGACTTATCTGCATCGCAAAGAAGCAGAAACAATGTTTCCCAGAGTTTCAGATTAGAGCCTAGAGTGGGTAACTGTGACTTGGAAGGTAGAAGAGAAGAGGCCATTATTCCCTGGGAACAGTGGAGACAGCTATGGGCAGACGCAGGAGCAGAAGTTGCCCATGAGATCTGAAGCAACTTCAAGGTGAGCATCTGGAGAATCACACACGTTGGGATCGCAGACTGAGCTAGTCAGTGACAATTCAGCAGACTTTCACCCCCTGGCCCTCCCGATGCTTATTCCTTGTATTAAAACACTGTCTACTGGGAAGACACAGAAAGGCTCTGGTTTCGCTGACCAAACACTGATGATAAAGCTCCCAGATACTGAGACCCAATCCAGGAAGTCCTGTATCCAACTAGCAGGTGTCTCAGAAAGAGCGTATAAAATTAAAAGAAGGAAATTATCAAAAAGAATCTTAGTGCTGAGAAATCATGATGCTAAGATGAAAAGGGCTCATTTCCAGCTAAATGAATTTTTTAAAAAAGCAATCTAGGTAGTCTTATGGTATTTTAGAATGCCAAAACTTAAAAGAACATAACTTGCAGAGAGGAAAAATAATAACTACAAAGAATATAAATTAAAATGACTTCTAACTTCTCATCAGCATCACAATATGATAATAGAAGATGTTGGGAAAATGCCTTCAAAGGTCTGAGGACACATGATTTAAACCTGGAAATCTATGCTCAGCCAAACTATAAATCAAGGGTTAGAGCAAAATCTGGATATCTCATAGTTGATAAGACTCTGAAATGTTAACTTCTGTGCACAAGTTTTTAAACAAGGGCAAAATCCTAGCTTACTTGATAAATTTTCTGCATCATGAAAAGCAAAGATATTTAACTGTTTTACTACTATGAATTTATTTTCATGAACATTAAAAAGATGGAGCAGAGCAAGATTTTACCCTTATGCATGCTATTTAAAATAAAGGTGTCATAGTACTGAGGTATTAAAAGGGGCTTCTCAGGTGGTGCTAGTGGTAAAGAACCTGCCTGATAATGCAGGAAACATAAGGGACATGGGTTCAATCCCTGGATCAGGAAGATCCCCTGGAGAAGGAAATGGCAACCCACTCCAATATTTTTACCTGGGAAATCCCAAGGTCAGAGGAGCCTCGCAGGCTACAGTTCATGGGGCAGCAAAGAGTCAGACACGACTGAGTGACTTAGCATAGATATTAAAAAGAAATATTTTAAAAAGGTAGTATATGAATACAGCAGGATTGTGAAGATAGCATATGAATGACTGAAGTTTGGGAAACATTTTGGTAAAGTAAATGACTTCCAAATATATTTAGATTTTAAAAGACAATGCAGAGCCAAAAGCAAGAACTCATCAGCTGCAGCAATGCCAGGGCAGAGGAGCCTGAGGACCATTATTTGCTGACCACCCCTTGAAGGTAGCTGAGTTTCCATTGTTAAGATTTCCATATCCATCACCTTATCCACGGAAACCTCTGACTGTTTGGGGTCCTTAGGAAGCCTCTCCTATGGGGAAGAGAAAGTGAGAACCGGTTGAACTGAGTGTGCTCACGTGCCCACAAATTCCATTTCTCCCTATAAAGTAATGCATTTAGCAAACTGATCCAAATGCCAGTGTCTTTATTTTTGCTTCCTCCTATTTCCCTCTATTTTTTTTAAATCTTTTTAGATTGCATGCTTCTGTGTAATCTCAAATATCCTCACTTGGAGTGAGGAAAAGTTTATCTAAATAATGCTAGTCACACATCTCGATTTCTTGGGCCCTTCCCAGCCCCCAGAGCCTGATCATCTATGGCACAAGGACACAGGAGAGGTTCTGGTCCCAGCTTGTTGGGCTCATTGTCAGGGTTCTTAGTGCCCAAACAGACAGTAACTTTGGAGATTTAAGCAGAAAAAGAATGTAATGGAAGTATGTCAGTTCGCAGAGTGGTTAGGAAGGCTAGTGAGAAGCACATGGAGGAAACAGGAGGCAAAGCAGAGCCAAGATGGTACCTCAGGACAGTCTGTTCGGGATGCTGACACTGGCCTTGGCACCACACCTGCCCCTACAGCTCCGCCAGCCACACCTGGACTCGACCTCCACCAGAAACATCAACCAGCATCTCTAAGGCCCCTGGGTGTTCGCATGCTCCAGTGAAGACTCGAGCAGGTGTAGCTGGCAGCCTGAGCTACCTGTGATCTAGGGAAGGAAGCCTCAGGCCCTTTGGGCCTTTGTTTCACTACTGAGATTCCCTGACCCAGACAGTAGGGCAGGCAAACATCAGGAAAGTCCAGGGCACTCGGTTACCTTCTGAGACGCTATCAGAGCAGACTTCTCATGCCCCTCTTTGTCATAACCTCATTGCTCTCATTAAACTGAGCAGTTTACAAATGAAGATATTTATGTTGGATTAATTACATTTATATAATATATAGTTTCTCTTTCTTTCAAAGTCAGACTTTAAACATAAGTTTCTCATTTAAAATTGTAGTGTCTTTTTATTTGTACTTCTAAATGAACCCGGACAAGGCTGAGGAGTCTTTCTTGTTAAATTCTATTGGGACATAAGCTGCAAATTCCAAAAAAGGACAAATTCAGAGAGGCTAAGTGTTCTAGTGCAATTAACCACAAACAATGTAAGATGCTTACTTTATGAATTCTTGAAGATTTTAAACTGTGATAGTACAAATCCACTGAACCGCTTCAAGAATCCAGTAGAGATCTCTGGTAAATTCTGGTTTTAAAAAAGAAAAATCTGTGATGAAACAAGTACATCTTTCACAGTAATGTATGAAAGGTGATGTCGGTATATATAAAAAATAATTAATGTCAGCTGTTGATATTCTTTGTACTAAATTATATTCATAAGCAAGATTTTTATGTTTTATGGGGTCTGACTTCACACTGCCCTGTTGCAATAACATCCCCAGTGTTTACTTTAGTCTCCTTTACATTTACAACATCCTGGAGGGTGGTGGTGCTAAATTTAATTTGTCAACCTATGTTAATTTTACAAGGATCCAGATCAAACTGCTGTATAAACAAGAACTGCCTTGCAGAGACTTTTGGTGATTAAACAGGAGAAGTTGCAGCTGAACTAAAAAATAAGCTGCCAGTGTATTTTTCATTTTTCCCCCTATAATTTTAATGGCTCAAATGAAAGAGCTGTTTTGCTTTAACAATAGCGTCCTTGTTAAAAGTCCTTTAGAGAGCTGTTACACCACCCTGAAGCTGTCTAATTAAACCATTAATATAACAAAGATACCATTAGTTGCTAAACCCAAAGAATACACTTCCATCTCACAGCAGAAATTAAAGGTGATTTTTTTTTTTTTCAGCTTGTAGCTTGATTTCCAGTTTAGAGAAAGCCTGCCTGTCCATTAGACCTTTTTTTTTGCAAGGAAACATCATTAATCTGCAAGACTTACTACAATGGGATATTATTTTCCTCAACAGAGGCTGTTATTGAAACTGCATATTATCAAGCCAGCTGTCCGATTGAGTTTTTATAAAGGATTAAGGGGTTATATGAGCACCTAACAGCTGCACTAGCTAGACTAAAACTGGGGTTCCCAGACCGTATGCGTCTTGGCTAAGGAATGAAAAGATATATTCTTTACCAGTGCAGTGAGATATTAACATTTAAAGGGAAAATTAAATTAGAAATAAAACCTCATTCCTCCGAGTGCAAAGCGTTATGTGAATACAAATGAAGAATTTTGCCCCTTCTCTTAAGGAGTCCACCATAGTCTTAGTAGGCATGAAAATTTTTGAAGCGTTAAAATATAATTAAAGATTTACATGAAAGTTCGAGGGATTGAAGCAGTTAGTGCAAAAGAAACTGCTGAAAGATGCAAAGAGCTGCTATGGAAGTTCAAAGGCAAGAACAGGTTAATAAGGGTCAGAAGCTGAAGAGGAGAGTTGGTGGAATTGATCAACCAAGACCTCTGAGAAGAGTCATCAGGATTGTCTGAAGGGTGACCTGTTAAAGGGAGAAAAGACCTGGGGGATCACCTCCTCCTCCAGTTCCTCTCAGGCTAATCTGCTGAACAGAATTAACTCCTAATAATGAAATTCCTGGTCTTTTCCTCAACACTATTGAGTCATGGAATATATGAGCCCTTTTATTTATATTTAAATAATTTTACACTGGCTCAGATGCACCAAGAACTGTTTGTTTGTATTTTTGTTTATTTATTTGCTTGTTTTTAATACCTCAGGTGATAATTTTCAACTGGCAAGTTTGGGAAAAACTGTTCTAAGTCAATCTTGTGATCTCAGAATGTAAAACATTAAACAAATACCAAATGTAAAAAGAAAAAAAGCAGATGGAGATGAAGATGGTCTGTGTGTGTGTATGGTGTGTGTAAGACAAATAATAATCCCCCTGGGGTAGAAAAAGAAGACAAAACTTGTGCAAGGTCCAAGGCCAAAGAGTCCTGACCCAGTGTCTTTCACATAATAGACACTCAAAAAATGCTTTGTACTGGCTGAACTAAAAATGAAGCAAAGAACAAAACAAGCTGTAACCCTCAAGCATTTCATGACCTATTTATTACCACCTTATGTTCAATTCATTTTGTAAAACCTCTGGCTGGAGACACAGACCATGAATCTCAGAGTCTCTTGTGGATTGCAGAGCAGGACTGGCTCGAAACACTTGGTGCCTGGGAAACATTTAAACATCAAGGAGGCAAATATATTTTGCTGCAACGAGGTAGAAAGTTGAAATTTGAGGAAAGGAGACTCTGAGCTGCATCTCAAAGAACATATCCAGATGCTTATTAGACTGTGGTAGATTTTGCTAAAACATGTGATAGAATGAATTGCTCACAAAATAATTTTAAACTGGCTTAGAGGACCTTGAAGAAAATTACTTAAAACTAGCTCAAGTCCTCAGCAAACCACAGAAACATAAACCTCCATATGGGGGATAATTTCAATGTGGCAGGGAGAAGCAGATGACCTAATGCTTCTCCACCAGCCCCCAGCCCTGCCCCTTCGTGCCCTGGTTCCCTCTGCATTCCTCTGGGCAGTGGGAGTTTCTAAAGTTCAGCATGTAGGCATGTATATGAAATTTTTAACCAAAGAAATGCCTGTATTCATATCCTAACATATTTTAAAATTCTACCATGCTCTTTTCCCACAAAATCCCCACTTTTTTAATGCTGAATTTGCGAGACACTTTAATAAGTTCATTTACAAAACAAATAGAAGCAGTAATATTATGACATCAGTAGTTTATTTCTTGACTTTCTGAGTATATATATTTTAAATACCAGAACCAGAGTTTACTAGAAACAGCAAAGTGTCATTAAATTATTTCCTAACACTAGATTCCAAATACATTTTTTACTGTGGGCATGCCTTGAATAATCTATGCCATGACATTTTTCATAGGATTGAATCCATAAGGTGGGTGAGTGAGCAAACATGATAAAACCATGAAAGTGATTTTGTGATCTGCTTGACACCAGCAAGACAGATGGAACAACCTGTACCTTGCCAATGGGTCTTACCAATGTGGGGTCTAGGCCATCTTTAGCTTGTAAGCAACACTCAGGATGTAAGATGTAATGCTAGGAGTATGTCTCCTGAGTTCACAGTAAAGTTCAAGGAAGAAAGAAAAGAGAAAACTTACTGCTTTTCAGAGCTGTCTGGAGTAAAAATGTGATTTTACATATCTCTTTCTTATTATATATTTGTCTCATGTATGAGTGTATGTAGGGTTTCCCTGGTAGCTCAGATGGCAAAGAATTTGACTGGCAATGCTGGAGACCCAGGTTTGATCCCTGGGTTGGGAAAATCCCTGGAGAAGGAAATCACAATGAGTGTATGATGTGTGCATGCTCAGTCATTCGTCATGTCCAACTCTTTGTGACCCCGTGGACTGTAGCTTGCTAGGCTCCTCTGTCCGTGAGATTTTTCAGGCGGAAAATCATAATTCATAATCACAACTCACATATAGGCATATACATATATATATACACATATGAAGCAAGGCAAAGGGTAATAGAGTTTTGCCAAGAGAACACACTGGTCATAGCAAACACCTTCTTCCAACAACACAGGAGAAGACTCTACACGTGGACATCACTAGATGGCCAACACTGAAATCAGACTGATTATATTCTTTGCAGCCAAGGAGGGAAAAGCTCCATACAGTCAGCAAAAATAAGACTGGAGCTGACTGTGGCTCAGACCATGAACTCCTTATTGCCAAATTCAGACTTATTGAAGAAAGTAGGGAAAACCACTAGACCATTCAGGTATGACTTAAATCAAATCCCTTACAACTATACAGTGGAAGTGATAAATAGATTCAAGGGATTAGATCTGATAGAGTGCCTGAAGAACTATGGACAGAGGTTTGTGACATTGTACAGGAGACAGGGATCAAGACCATCCCCAAGAAAAAGAAATGCAAAAAAGCAAAATGGCTATCTGAGGAGGCCTTACAAAGAGTTGTGAAAAG